AATAAAGCTCAAGTTCAAGATTGATTCACATAGAGTTCATTGGTAGCAACTCAATACCTTTCCCTAACAAATTGATCATAAGAGATATCTCCAGGTTTAGGAGGGTTCACCATTAGCCCTAGCTGCAAGAAAATAGTACAAAAAGTGCCATTTCCAACCAGGCCATGAATGATCGATCGTCTTTGGAAAAAGTGATAAAATCTATAATGATATTAAATAAGTACAAGGCTAATTCCTTGTTTAGCTAGAAAATTTGCAGAGAATGCTTGAACAGAATAAAATAAATATCTTACAAATATCTGCCCGGGCACATTTGGACTAAGGGATATTGAAGCAACCTTGTATATCTCCTCAACACTCTGTAAATTAGATGACACAAGGAAACAACTTTGTTTAGGTGAACACGGGATTAGCAATTTTTTTTTTAAAAGAAAAACAATCACTAGAATCTGGAACGAACCCTGGGAGGGATATTAGTCATCTCAAAATATCCACCGCGCTGTCCACATTCACCCCAGTATCCTTTTGAGACCGTGTGGAAAGAGACGAGCTGAAGTTCTTTGCTTATGGGTGGGCCCATATCCAATAAAACCTAAGTTTTTGGAGTAATATGCCATCAGGTTATAAGGTCAGAAAAAGGTGATATACAACTTTGCAAATTTACCTTCCTTGAACTTAAAAAGGGCCGCTCATCTTGGTAGATGTTCTGTTGATAAACTTCATCCCCAAGCAATACCAAGTTTTCTCGGTAACAGAATTGTAATATCTCCTTCAAGTTTGCTTCGCTAAGACATTGCCCAGTAGGATTTCCAGGGTTTATAATCACCATTGCCCGTATCTAAGTGCAAAAAAGTATGCAAATAAAATTCAGCTTTATGTCTACATATCTGCCGCGAATATAACATGAAAGCAGGCACACTTACAGTTAGTCCTTTGGATCGGGCATCTGCAACTGAACGACGAAGGTCGTTGATATCAAGACCCCAGTTTGCGGTCTCTTCAAGAAAATAAGGAACAAGAGAGCCCCCAAGTAAAGATATTGTAGCTGAGTACAATGGATATTGTGGAACCGGGACCAATATCTATCAATTAATATGGCATTAGTAAATAAGAAAATGACATAAAGGGATTTCAAAACAAGTTTGGAAACATGTGGAATTGAGAAAAGTGGTAAAGAATCAAACTTTAATTTTCTCGATATAAATTACCCCATCATTTGGACCCCGGATGATACTATTCAAGATCTGCATTACTCCTTTGCTGGCCCCATCAGTCAGGAATATGAGCTCGGGATCACTGTATAAATGCACTAAACATCAAGCCTTACACTTAAGAATCGAGGATAGTAAGTATCTTAAACGAAGCATTGTCACCTTGGGTATCCATCACGTCTCCCGATGAACTCAGCCACTTCTTTCCTTACTCCAGGAATGCCACGGGAGTCACTATAAGCACCTATGTGGTTAACAACCAATAACACGTTATTTACTCTTCTAAGAGATTATTCATAAGGACTTATGATGTCAAATATGCAGAATAACAATACCTAGACCCCCAGAAGTCATTGAAAGAAATTGTTTAGCTCTTGCAATTGCATCAGCAGGGAACACAAGTCCCACATTCGGATCATCCAGTAAAAACGGGGCTTGGCAAAGAGCAATAACCTGTGACATAAGACATCATCAGTTGTTTGCGTAGAAACTTTGGGAAATGCGGGAAACAAAACTGCAATTCTAAACAAACCTGGCGAGGAAAGGTTAGGGGCTTTTGTCCAAGGGCATGGGGGTTGCCAACATTTGTGAAGATGATCTGCAATACAGAAAAAAGCATAAGAAATGCACCACATACAATACAAGCTCGATCTTGTCCAATTTCCAAATATTTCATTATCACAGCATTATAGTTATAGGGAAAACTTTCCCGATATTCAAATCCTACCACAAATTCTCCATGGGAAACAACTGCTTACAAAACTCACTTCTTATGCATCCACAAATTCCAATCTAAGTATAGACTATCGCAAAAAGAATCTAATAGCACATAAACAACAAGAGCAAAGGGAAAATAAACTGAATTTTACCCAAAAACTGCAGTAACTTAGGCATAACATAGACAAATCTTTCAAGGAAAACACAAAACAGTGCTTTTCTCTGGCAGATAAAGCAGACCCCAAAATCTTCACTTCTAATGAAGAAAACATACCTTCTTCCCTTCCTTCTGAAGCTCAGAAGCTCGAAGATACAGCTCACCTCTGACAGCATATTGACACTTCTTCACATTTTCGTTCAGATTCTCATAATCCAACGGCTTGGATGACATGATCGAAACAATTATCTTCTTACTAGCTCAAATGCCACCCAGAAATCAACCTAGTTGTTCACTGGCAAATACCAAACAGAAATGTTACCAATTAAATAGGAATGTAATGATTTGCACTTTTTTGTCACTAAAATTCACACTGAGAGATATAAAGAAACAATCTTTATAAAGAAAGAATGAAACCCATCATAAACATGCCAGAAAGTTCTCAGATTCACGGAAGAAATTAGTCATCCCCATTGAACAAACGGGCTCAAGAGTGATGAATACAATAAATCAAATAAAACCCAGAATTTGACTCCACGAATGATCTAATAATGAAAACCTTTTTTTGGTAATAAAGCGGGTGTTTTCTTGAAATCCACAGTAAAAGTTGGGTACCTTTGAAGCTCGTATCTGTAACAACCGAAAGGCTTTTTGAGTGTGCGGCCCGGTGGACTGGAAGCCTAGTATTGTGCTGCCGATTTAGCTTACTGATCTGATCTCATAACACTAGTTTTGTGTACGTCTTACGTGAGTACGACAAAATGGATATTATAAATTGCATAGGTGGCACTGTAGCGAGTCAATAATTCTTTGGCGACACCACAGCCACTGAAGATCGGCGATGGATTATTGTTTTTATTTGGAGTTTGGGGATAAACCACATGAAATAAAGTGTGGTGCAGGGTGTTAGCTCATTGGATTTTCTCATTTCTATTTTTTTTTAGAAACAAGATAAATTTATGAAATAAATCCACCTAAGAATTTGGTATTTCATTTTCATTTTTTTTTTAAGAAATGCAAGCAAAGAGTTTTTTTTTTTTTTTTTTTTTTTGAAAACCAAAGAATTTCATAATTAATAAAGAATCAACCTCGAAATACAACTGGATGGAATGGAATTAATCCCACACGGGTACGCTAAGGACGTCTCAGTGTCATATACAACGTAACATTTAGTTATTTCTACTTCTCTTACCTCCATAATATAATTTTGTGGTGGTTTGAGATTAGAAAAACATATCATTAAGTGATTTTAGTAATTAGTATACATATATAAAAATAATATTTGATATACAAATATATTACATCAAAACAAAAGTTCCATTATTTTGATGTCTAAATAAAATAGTAACATGTAGTTTGCTAAGAATGTAAATAATCATATGCATTAAAAATTAATTCTTGTTATTTTTTTAGGTGATGGAAGCTTAGCTTATTTGTACATTCTCTAGTAGGTGCATGAAAGTGATGAGGAGAATATGCAAATAGTTCGGCGAAGTAAAAGAGGAATGTCACCCCAGAAGTATTGTTGCCTTATGGCTAAATTTGGGCACAAGTCTAGAGAATTTGAAGCATTGTCCCAGAAAGCAATCCCCTCAAGTTGCTTCAACAGTAAATGATCAGTTCTCAAATTGCCAAGGACTTTGTGGTCCAGTGGTACCAAGTTGTTCCTTCATATGAGAGGTTGCTTTAACAGTAAATCATCAGTTCTCAAATTGTCAAGAACTTTGTGATCCAGTAGCACCAAGTTGCTCCCTCATATGGAAGGTTGGGGTTTGAGTCTGGAGGCAATATTGACTCTTTGTGCTTCAATAGGTTGAGAAAGTAGTTATGAAAAAAAAAAAAAAAAAAAAAAAAACGCATACACATAAGGCAAATTATGTTGTGGAACCATGTCCACCTTGCAAGGTGGACACAGTTCCAAAACTGTTCATAATTATTGAACTCTATATAGTTCAATAATTATGAACATAGAACCATGTCCACCTTGCAAGGTGGACACAGTTCACGGCATAACGATTGTACACATAACACATGGGCCATATTAAACACGGACAAGAGACTAGCCCATGAGTTTAACTTGGGCCATATTGAAGTCATACAACTAGTGGAGATTAGAAGCCATCTAGTATTCTAGTGTGATCCAAATGTTTCTATGTTTGGGCCAGTTTCTTTTGGGTCAAATTCATCATATGGGCCTCTACATACCCCATAGGCCCTAGTACTGACAAATTATACTGGACCATGAATAAATATACATTATTTATAAAAATTCATTTAGTATATTAAAAATGTAATTTATATTAAGAGTTCGTTTGGAAAGCAGGAAAATAACTTCTGAAAAATGAGTCACTTTTCAGAATTTTTTTTTCAGTATTTAGTTGCATTTGGAAAACTGTTTTGGTGCGTTTCATTTTTTGAAAAATAAATAGAATTTGTATAATTAAATACTTTAATTATTTTATTTAGAATATAAAAATACATTTTATATGTTTGAAACCCAAAAAAAAAAAAAAAAAAAAAAAAAAAAAAAAAAAAAAGGAGATTTTTTGTTCCGGGTTCTGCCAGAAATCATAGTTATGGTTTCCGTGGGTTCCGCCAGAAACCCTTAAAAAAAAAAACAACAACAAAAACAAAAACTGGGAAAAATGATTTTTGAAAATCATTTTTCTCAAACACAATCTAATGGTCTATCTTACAAGATGCATGATGATCAATGGTATGATGATTGATAATACTTATATCCAATCATTATATCATGAACCATGGTCTACTATACACATTAAATACCTTAGTTCAAATTACGATTATGTATGTTAACAGGTACATAATTTGGATCAAAATTACAATGCCCATAGCAAACCTAGCTTGTTCATAATGATATTTTTTTTTTGACATATATTTCAGATTATCTTTAAGATTGTCTTTACAAAGAAGTTCTTTTGCCATTTGAGTTACCCTTCGGTCTATCAAAGAGTTAATTGTTAGGAGTATACATACACTTTTAAAAATTCATTTGGTTTTTCATAAATTGAAACACCCAAACTACCCCTAAAAGAATATTAGGACGACAAGAAGGAAATGGCATGGCAAATTTAGTTAACAAATCGACATTTCTTCCTTATCTCACCCTCATCTCCAGTCAGCACTCGAATCTTCCCCATCTTGATCACCGACTCCGTGAACTTGCCGAGCCACGCCGCCTGGTCATCGGCGAACTCCTCCACAAGCGGCAGCGTTCTTGGATCGCCGGCCAACCGCTCGTCGGATTCCAGCAACCCTTTCTTCTGCAACAGCTGCTTGTAGAACATGGAGTCCATTTTGTACTGGGTGGTGCTGTCCATTGGGATTGTGGTCGCCGCATTCCGGCAATGGGTTCCCATCACCACCTTCAGCGACCCATCCACTTCCTTGGCTCTCGCCGGAGTGTTCAGCCGGTACCGGAAATTCGAACAGTGAGCGACGCCGATGGAATGCGCGCCCAGCAGCGCCACCAGGTCTTCCACGTCCAGCCCTTTGGACTTGAAAAGCGCCACCATCTGATCCACCGTGAAGTCCGGCGATGCGAGATTTTTTCGCGCGTCGGGTTCCCGGGAGACGTTCCCGTCGCGCCTCCCGCCGGGAACCTCGAACTCCGGCACTCCGGATAACACAAGCGCGTCCCGCGCCGAGAATGTTAGGATATCGGCGCAGGACACCACTCCCGGGCAGCTCTGCTCCATCTCCTCCTTGATCCGGTCGATGAGTTCAAACCCTCGCACGGTTTTTCCGTTCGACGGCGCTTGCTTCTCCACGCGCCCCCCTCCCGACGTCGCGTCCAGCAACACTGATCCATCACATCCCTGCACATTACCATTAACGTATTTATAATTTTCATTACCATAAACTTATTTATAGAGCGCAAATACCAATTTTGATCCTACGAGTATTAACAAAATGACAGTTTTGGTCCACATAGTTGCAGTAGGCGTTAGTTGTGCGCCTGCACAGGGCGGTGCCTTAGGCGGAATCTAGGCGGTGCTAGGGGGAGCCAAAAAAACAGTATCCGACTTGCAGTTTGACAGTTTTAATGAGGATGTTTAGCCTAGACCAATTTTTACAACAGCGCGTAAAAACAACAAATTATGCTGTGAATCGAGCTAGGTGAACCCGGTTCTAAAACTGCAAAAATTATGAACATTCTCTCCTCACTCAATAATTAACGTGTAATCTGATCTAACTAAACTTACAGCGACGACGCAGTCGTGGCTTTGGAGGCGGACGATGGCGGCGGCAACGCCGGGGTCGTCGTGGAAAGCCTTGACCATATGGTTCTTGACGATTTCCTCGGCCGTAGGGCAAGTGCGGCCATAGAATCCTACCCGCATTCCGGCGGTGGTTTCAGCGGCTTCGGCATTGCGGTCAGGGGAACCTCCGAAAAGTAAGCCAGATAAGCTAAAAGAAAATGCAGGGGTAAAGAGAGAGAGCATGCAGACGACGGCGACGAACCTTGCAGCCATCGCCATCTCTGCAATGCCTTTTCTGACGACTATGCACCCATTGTTTGGTATTTGAAGAAGCATTGTGTTAATGGCGATGGTTGAGAGAAATTTTAGGACTTTTTGTGTGGCAAAGAGTATTTGTGGAAGGGAGTTTTTGTTGAAGATTTAAAAAAAAAATTAAAAAATCTAGATAAACCACTTCACTCATATTCCTTATATAAGATTAGTATCCAGGATGACCCACAGGGACAATCCAGAAACCTAGCCACTAAGACTAACTTCGCGAAAAGCAAAGGTTACTATCTGATCAGCGATTTTGGGGCCAGCTCGATACTCCACGACAGTTACTACGCCCGACACGAACGATATGATGAAGCATTCGTGGGAGAACTTAAATTCAGATCGGATGCTGGTCATATATGATATTGTTGTCGCCATTCGATCTGCAATTATGTTTGTTAATTGGATTAAGCACTTAAGCCGTTGTTTCAATTCTAGCAATGAGAAAACTCGATCAGGTTTAGAAATTCACTTATTTATTCATGTATTTATTATCCTATTTCTATTAGGATTAGGGTAATAGTAATAATACTTCAATCCTATGTTGGTTAAAATTGGGAAATAATATATAATAGTCCTATATGTTTAAGAATTACTATCAAATTTATTAGTAATTCTTAAACATATAGGACTAGTATATATTATTATCTCTCAATTTTAACTAAAATAGGATTGAAGTATTATTATTACCCTAATCCTAATAGAAATATGATAATATATTCATGAATAAATAAGCGAATTTGCACCTGAGTTTTCTCACCTCATTGCTAGAAAGAACTGCTTAAGTGCTTAACCCAAGAAACATAATTGCAGAATGGCGATAACAACATCATATTTAGTAGTGTTGGGAACTGCTGATTCCTTTGACGACGAAGTCTCGACTTTGAATGAATTGATGGATATTCTTTTTGGATCCTTTGACGACGAAATCTCGACTTTGAATGAAGTGATGGATGGTCCTTTTGGATTCTTTGATGATTCTACCGTGAGTTTAGGAGGTATGTCGGAAAGGGAAATTTCTAGGTTGAGGACGGAAGAGTTTACTGGAGATGAAGAAGAGGGCGAATGCTGTATCTGCTTGGAAGGGTTTTTGGAAGGGGCGGTGATCACTCCATTGGCTCCATGTTCTCACAGGTTTCACCATTTATGTATTGTTCCATGGCTGCGGAACAACCCGACATGTCCTCTTTGCCGTACGAGATCTACGGTGCCTGCTGTTTAATAGATTCAGATACCTTCATACTTTTTTTTTTTTTTTTTGGTCACAGAATAGCTCTCCCAATTGGGAGATCACGGTCTGATTCTCAGTAGGAACGGTATTGATTCTTTATGTTTTAATAGGTTGAGAAAGTAGTTATGAAGAGATACTACATTGTAATAGAGTCGGTAGCACTAAAAAAAAAAAAACAGACATACTATAACATGTACAACTCTAGAATTTTATTGTCTCTTTAATTGAAAATCACATTCCCTAATTAAAAATGAGTATTTTTAAGTTTGGATTAGCATTTTTAAATTTTTGTTTTGATTTTTTTTTTTGTACATATTGGTGATTTGGATGTCATAATATTATGATCAATTGCCTTAGTTTTTATTTTTGTATTTCTAAATCCTTTATTTTCATTATAGCGTCATACATAACCAAACATCAATATTATTGATAATCATTCCAATTCCACCTTAGTACCAAACATGCAAAATACTTTCACCAAGTATTTAATTCTGATTCTGATTCTGATTTCATTATGTGAACCAAACACATCCCGAGTTGACAGTTTCCTTTCATTATTTCATATTACTACTGAAGTATATATATTGCAGTATCTGGCTGGTGTATGCACCAACGATAGTAGTATATTGCATACATTCATATCAGTCTAGCTACTCCCCACCAAACACATTTAGTATATTAGAAAATTCTAGATTTAATTATGGTTAATATTCATTCAGTTGAGCTGGTCACAAGATTTACTCAATACATAAAGAATAGATGTTAGCTGGTTGGGTTAGTGCGTTTAATTTAACTAGTTGATAGCATTAGCTGATTCTAGAAAGATGTTTGATAAATTGACTGATAGCTGATTACATGCAAAAGGACTTTCTCAAAAAACTGATAAAAAAAGGTACTTTGAGTAGCTTTTTGAAATTCAGCATTTTAGAACAATAAACTATTACAAAAAGTTAATTAATCAAACACTTAGGTTGTTTAGTACAAAAACAACTAATCGTGATCAAATAAGTCAAAATTGACTGATAAGTTAATTATGTTAGTTACTAAATAGGGCTACACTTTTTTATTATTATTATTATTATTATTATTATTATTATATGCGAGATAAATTTTATGATATGTAAACATGTAAATTAGAGCACTTATTTGGTATAAAATGTACATTATTCGCACATAAATTATTTGAAATGTATGTGTAACAAAATTAATTTGATGCAAGACCACATCCAATTAATCTTCAATTGAAGCATGTGCTCCATCTCAACTAAAAGCTTAAGCTGACCGTAGTCACTTGATATCAAATTGAAGTATGTGCTCCATCTCAACTAAAAATTTAAGCTGATAGTTGGATACACATTAATGGATATATGCTCACAAAGTCTAACTAGCAATGGTACAATCGATAAAGTAAATCAAGTGGCAGAGCTACTGCAGCAAGATTTGGAATAAAAATTCAATTCATAGACATTGTTTGTCAAGACTTTAAAATGTGAATTGAAGATTAAAAAGAAAAAAAAAAATCTAGACAAACCACTTCACTCCTATTCCTTATACTAGTATTTTTTATACGCGATGCGCAAAAAATAAGTGCCCAATATTAAAATATTATATTAAAATTTTAAATTTATTTAGATTTTAGATATTTAAATTATTCTAAATAATAATAATAATAATGTAAATCATTTTTATAAATTTGATATTTATATTTTAGGTAATAATTAACATATAACTCAAATATATAATGTGTATATATATATATTATTATTAATGAAGAAGATAAGAAAATATATGATGGATGCATGTGCATGGTAACAATAGTGGAAAAGATAACAGAAGTTATAACGGTAGGGTATGTTTGTCCAAAATATTGTAATGTACAACTTTTATAGCATAATGTACAAAAAAACTTAACGGAAAAAACGGACATAATTGAGGGGTATAACTTTCATTTACACTTATTATGTTTTTAGATATAAGACCTAAAAGACAAATTAAACTATTAGTATTCGGCCCTCCTTCTCTTCAATCTTCACGCTCCGACATACCTCTTAAACTGACGGGCAAATTTGAGATGTCGTTTAAGGAATTAGCAGCTCTCGCTTCCTCGGACTTTCTTTAGTTTTGTCCTCCCAACACTACATGATTAGTTTCTAAGATGACCCACATGGACAACCCAGAAATCCAGCCACTACGACTAACTTCACGAAAAGCAAAAATTGCTATCTGATCAGCGATTTCGGGGCCGGCGCGATACTCCACGGCTGTGACTACACCCGACATGAACGATGAAGCATTCGTGGGAGAACTCAAATCCAACAGTGGATTGAAGTAAAATTCATAGTCACAATTACTCAAAGTATGAGGCACAGAACCTCGAACCATAGCTCTAGTTCTGTTCAGAATGTACAATCTTCCATCAGTTGGATGTTCTGAGCGGATATTGGTCATATATGAAATTGTTGTCGCCATTCGATCTGCAATTATGTTTGTTGGATTAAGCACTTAAGCTGTTCTTTCTAGCAATGAGAAAACTCAAGTTTAGAAATTATACTTATTTATCTATTAGGATTAGGGTAATAAAAATAATACTTCCATCCTATGTTAGTTAAAATTAGGGTAAAAGAGGGCCATTTAATTATCACCCAATTTTAAGTAAAATAGGATTGAAGTATTATTATTATTATTACCCTAATCCTAATAGAAATATGATAATTACATGAATAAATATGCAAATTTGTACCTGAGTTCTCTCAGCTCATTGCTAGAAAGAAGCTAGGGCTTAAGTGCTTAATTAATTAACCCAAGAAACATAATTGCAGAATAATGGTGAGAACAATATCATATCTGAATGCGATCCAAATCGAGTTTGTAGAATCACAACATCCAACTGAGGGAAGATTGTACATTCGCAACACAACTAGATTTGAGGTGCCACCCTCACGTCGATCTGAGCCTTATACTCCGCCGATTACTTCTGACCATGAATTTCACTTCAATCCGGTCTTGAACTTCGCTTCTCCGGCGAACGCTTCATCGTTCATGTCGGCCATAATCGCGAACCTGGAGTATGGAGGCCCCCCCCAAGTCGCCGATGATATAGCAACCCGTGCTTTTAACGTAGTTAGCCGTAGTGGTTGGGTTTCCGGGTTGTCCATAAGGGTAATCCTGCTAACTAATGATGTAGAAGAGTTGGGAGGACAAGGGTCCGAGGAAGACGGAGCTGCTGATGATGATTCCTTAAACGACGATGAAATCTCAGCTTTGGTTGAAGAGGTGTATGATCTTTCTCAATCCTTTGGTTCTGCCGTGAGTTTAGGAGGTATGTCGGAGCGGGAAATTTGTAGGTTGAGGATGGAAGAGTTTACTGGGGATGAAGAAGAGGAGGGGGGCGAATGCTGTATCTGCTTGGAAGGGTTTTTGGAAGGGGCGGTGATCACTCCATTGGATCCATGTTCTCACAGGTTTCACCATATCTGCATTGTTCCATGGCTGCGGAACAACCCAACATGCCCTATTTGCCGTAGGAGAACTATAGTGCCTGTTTAATAAATTCAGACACCTTCGATGCCAATGATCTTGTAGTCTAGTAGGACAGTATTGACGCTTTATGCTTGAGTAGATTGAGAAATTAAATTGGCTATGAACAGATACGTACTACATTGTAATAGTCTTGATTATTTGTGGCTCTGTTCTTATAAATAAATAAATAAGGCCTTATCAAAATTATAAGCGCAATCTTAAAACCAATACTGTAAAATATATGTTTTTTTATATTTCAAATAAGAAAGAACTATGTAACACTAGTTGAATGTAAAAATCACAGTTCCTACGGTAAAATATATGATTTTCTTTCAAAATGTAAATATTAGGCCCTCTAAAAATTGAGGCCATGTGCCATTGCCCATCTTTGCACACCCAAAATCCGGTCATGGTTATGAACAGATGCTACATTGTAATAGCTCCAATAGGGGTGATATTGACTCTTTGTGCTTTAGTAAGTTGAGAAAGTAGTTATGACCAAATACTACATTGTTATAGGCACAGTAGGAGCAGTATTGACTCTTTGTGCTTCAATATGTTGAGAAAGTAACTATAAACAGATACTAATGAACATTATAATAGCCCCCGTGGGGGCAGTATTGGCTCTTTGTGCTTCAGTAGATTGAGAAAGTAGCTATGAAATCCTGTAAGTGTTTACACACTTGGTTACATTGTTCTTCAGAATCCTACAAACTAGAGTTGGCTATATGATACAGAGAAGCAGAAGTTGCAATCCAAAAAAGCACCAATGAAGATCAGAGAAGTATATCTATACATTCATATTTACATAATTACATACATTCATATTACTACTGAAGTATATATATATATATTGCAGTACTCTCTTCTAGTCTAGCCAAAGCAGACAGTAGTAGTTTACCAAGACAGATATCCAGCCTGTTAACTATTGTGCTGTTTGGTTTGGTAACGTTGGAATCTTCCTAAACGCATGTTTCCTGCATCGCTCAAATATGCTGTCGTATATCAAATCGAATTGAACTCCAGCCCTCTCCCGGTTCACGATGAACAGAATGTGGTCGCCTTCAACAACCTTGTAATACCTGCACAGATATAACGAGGAAATCAAATGTTTCTTGTCATGTCATCCTTTGAAACTCGTTGTCTGTCTTGTTCTTATGAGAGATGTCAATACAGACATTAGATTCATTCGAGTAAAGTCATCAATAAAAGCGACAAATGCATATATTATACCAAATGCCCGGTTGCAAAGGCTGGCATTCAGAATCCTTTACGACGAACTGGCTTGGATGCTCAACCGGCAAGCAAGGGTACATCATGGATTTTGTGTTGAGTGCCCCGTCGTTTTCCCACCAATCTTGATCTCTGCATATGTTACACAAACGAAAAAACAATCTTGTTTAAGGTAATTTCTGCAAATCCAGAATGACAGACAAGACAAGTTCCTTAATGTCCACAAAATCCACAAGACAAGAGCTAAGAAGAACACACACCTGTAACCTTTATAAGGAACCGGGACATCAGAAGGGTGTCGCCACTGGCTCATCTCGAGGACTCTGATAAGTAGCATAGGGTGTATGCCAAGAACGCCCGAAGGAACACTAATGCCCATAATTTTCCTCGTACGCTTTGTAGCATAGCTGAAGTAGTATGTATTGGGAAATGTATGTAAGCCCGTGTTCAGTTTGATGGACCCTTGGATAGTGAGGTCGGGCAATATCCAGTCCCCCGAAGCAAAGGGACCGGATTTACCCAACAGGCACCCGACAAGACCCCAAACGCCAATCTTCCCCCGGGAGAGATTGAAATGATCAAACCCAAAGTTGTAGTACGCCTTCAGCCAACGGATGTCAAGCCACTCGTAAATTAGCACTCCAACCCGACAAATCTGGAGTAGAGAGACGGTTTTCATAGCCTTCCCATCTCCAGGTCTGTTGGTAACGATTTCAAGAACATTGATATAGATAACATTGAACACACCAGAACTCGATAACATTGACAAATCAAAATAAACAAAAACAATTTCAGAAGCTTACTCCATGCCATCTAGGTATGCTCTTGTTGTCCCATTGAATGCTCCAGATAACGACGTTATGCTTATGATCCAATTCTCTGAAGTTTTTTCATATCCCGCGAATGCCTATGAATGGAGCAAGTCTTAGTTTTGTACTTTTGTTGTTAAAAACATAGGCTAAACCAGATTTTCTGGAATTGATTTTAAGGATAACAAACCAAACCTTGTCAGCCAACATTTGCTGTAAAACACGAACAACCTGGGCACCAGCCGAATGTCCAACAAAGTGAATAGGGTGATCCTCATCCCACTCAGGGTAATGCCCTGCAATCCAATCATCACAATCGCAAGAAATCAAATTCTCGCCCTCCCAGATAGCTCAATTAGTTCTTGGGTGACAGATAATGAATTTCACCCTTACGTGGGGATGACTGGTCCTCCCACCTAATGAGTCTAAGTCAGCGTGATTTACTTCTCCAGAATCTAATCGGGCCAAAGTATGAGATCTCGGGGCCAGAGATTTCGCCTTTTGTGGGCAAGAAATGAAATTCTTACTACCCTTTTAAGTCACAGCATTATAGACTAGGATGAAATCAAAAAGTTCCAACCTTGTTCATAAACTCGTCCAAATTGGGAGTGCCCACAATTCCTGCTATGTTCTTCTCCATAATCAACAATTCCTCCTTTCAAATAATAAAACAATTCCCGAGCCCTGCAAACAGTAAAGAACCCGACAACAACTATTGCAAAAACATTCCATGAATGACATAACATAAGCAAGCACATAACCAAATAAGTGTAAGATATATAGAATCCAGTTTGGGTTTCAGTGAAGCACCTACCTATCATAAATGCTAGTGAGTGACCCCAAATCAGGCACAAGAACCCTATTATCCTTCTTCTCTGCTCCAGCAAAATAAGATAACCCTCCCAATCTCTACAGTGCAATTCAAATCCCACAACCCAAAAACTGATCAATACAGTAACTATACACTGACTATGCATAAAGTAGGGAATAATACTGAGTTTTTTCCACATTGTCTCACAACTATAAAACCATTTTGATATCTGATTCCCGGCTATTAATTTTTTCACATTTGGTCATTCTGACTTAATTTCCAGTCTCAGAGGACCAAATTCTAAGCAAATAGTGACTTATCTTGAATGATAAAATTGTCATTTTTGTCTCCTTTCCAAGAAGGTTAAGAAAAAAGTAATGAAAATTGCCAATTTTATCCTTAAGGGGTGGCCAGAATTTCAAGCAACATATCGTAAAGGGCAAAATTGTCATTTTCATTTTCTCTCCTCGAGAAATATATGAATAAATGTAATGAAAATTGATAATTTTATCCTTTAAGATAAGTATAGTTACCGGTAATTAAAAATTAAGTTAGAGGAACTAAATGTGATCATGATTTACAAATTATGAGACTAAATTTTAAAAAATTATTCCATCCGTCCTTAATTGATTGTCTCATTTGCATTTTGTACGGTTTTGAATACAACATAACAAATGTTATTAATTTTTTAATTTTGCCCCTCAAAAGTAGGTGTTATTTGTACAAAGTACAATTGTACTTACCTCTAGAAATTTGAAAAGTCAAAAGGGTAAATTGGGAAATGTTGAATGATAGATATGTTCAATTTTGAAAAAATGACACTATTTTGAGACAAACTAAAAAAAAGTAAGACATGTAAAATGGGACAGAGGGAAAAAACTGAAAATAATATATAGAACCCAATAAAAGGAAGAGAAAAATGAAATTAAATACCCCTTTGCCAAAACCAAAGATCCCATGAACCAACACAATGGGAGGTAGATCATTAACGGTGGTTGTCGCCATTGAAACCTGAGCTTTGAGCCCAGTCTCCACATTGGGCTTGAAAAACCAGTCGCTCCAGGCCTGAGATACATCGCCGGCCACGGCGGTGGTGAATATGTAAAACCCATATCCCATATGAATCGCGGCGCACACAAATACCTCCGCCAATCGCAGCGCCATTATCCACCACCACCGTATCATTTTCACCAACATATTAATCCACCACCGCCTACATAACAAAATCAACAACAACAACAACATATACATATTTATATATCTGCGTTTTCCCACAAGCCTTCTTCGAGCCAAGAGAAGGCTTGCTTGGGACGAGATTTAACCACCTTTTAGCCCAATATGGAAAGGGCTAAACTCTCCCGGAGCCTTGAATTGAATGTTGAGCAAACAGACAATAGAAAACTAATTTAAGAAAAAAAAAACACACACACACACACAAAAAAAACACACACACTCACAGATTTCTCGTTGCCCGCATTTCATGCGCTTGAGAGTTGAGAGTCTTCCCGCTTCAAAATCTGATTTTGGTGGCCGTTGATGAAGGTTGATGACACACGACATGCCTTCAACCGCTGCCAACGCTGTAGTCATACAATGTCTTGTTAGTCCCGACATCTTAACATCGTTTAGTACAACAACCTATGTACCATTATGGTATTTTTAAATCAAGCAAAGTATTTTGGTCTCACCAGTATTAACAAAATGACAGTTTTAGTACACATGTTTAATTTTTATCCACGATTATTGTTTTAGTATCAATTTTCATCAATGATTATTGTTTTAGTGCCAAAATTCATCACGTCAATTACTCATTTGTTTAAGACATACCAAAATCAATCTAAAATTTTTAAAGGTATTTTCGTCTTTTTCAACTTAAGATCTCAATTCGAGTTCGATGTCTTAATTGCTTTCCCTTTAAATAATAATATAAAAAAATCTTTGTCATTTTTAAAATTTCAAATATAGAAATGAAAAATTACGATGCCTTCAAAGGTTGATTGAGAAATAAATTATATAATAGTATACGGTTGTATTTGTTTTAGGTAAAATTAATTTGGTGTTTAATACTTTTTTTTGTCTCTATTACCCTCTGTTCATAGATACTTTTTCAATACTACATTCACTGAGACTTGATCACATGACCTTTCATATGAGAGATCAATACATGATATTTGAGCACAATATGTTTGGCTAGTGTTTAATATTTAATTGGCGAAATTATTAATGATGTAAGGGAAATTTTAAGAAGATTAAAATATATTAGTGACTTGTAATAGCTAATAGATAGGGCAAATACCAATTTTGGTCCCACGAGTATTAGTAAAATGACAGTTTTGATTCACATGTTTAATTCCTATCAGTTTCCATCCACGACTATTGTATTAGTACCAATTTTCGTCCACAACTATTGTTTTAGTGTCAAAATTCATCACGTTCTTCACCCCCTTCATTTAAGACATGCTTAAATATGAAATTATTAAGTGTTTTTCATCCCTTTCAAATTAAGATCGATCCCAATTCGCAGTTCTCCTCCTCAAATTAAAGAAGGATGAGGAGGAGAACTGTGAATTGGGATCGATCTTAGGGGTTAAATCTCTTTATTCATGCTCAAATTGGGATCTTAAGTTGAAAATGATGAAAATACCCTTAAAATTTTTAGATTTCAGCATGTCTTAAAAGTAGTAATCGGCGTGATGAATTTGACACTAAAATAATAGTCGTAAATAAAAATTAGTACTAAAATAATAGTCGTTGATGAAAATTGGTATTAAAACAATAGTCATTGATAGAAATTGGTATGAATGAAACATATAGACCAAAACTATCATTTTACTAATACTCGTGGGACTAAAATTGGTATTTGCTCGTAATAGATATATCAAAATAAATATGAAATGCCAAAAAACTTATTATATAAAATGATTTATTTATGGTCCCAAATATATATAATGAATTAAACATGTCAGAAGACATACGATTCTAAATGTAAGAAATACAATATAGGAACCAAAAAGCGCATTTGGTGTAGTGGTATCATAGTACCCTCCCACGGTACTGACCGGGGTTCGATTCCCCGAATGCGCATTGTTTTCTACCCTGACCTATCTAATATATAATGTCACTAAACATGTCAGGAGAAATAAGTATAAAAGTAAAAAAATACAATATTAGAAACCAAGAAGCGCATTTGGTGTAGTGGTATCATAGTACCCTCCCACGGTACTGACCGGGGTTCGATTCCCCGAATGCGCAATTTTTCTACCCTGTCGACCTGTTCTATCTAATAATTGAAGTTGCCTTGGCCATTTGTAGGCTTGGAGCATTATAGCATGGTGACATATTTTGTGATAATTTTGTAAAAAAAAAAAAAAATTACACTCTAATCTCCGAAATTCCTTCTTTTTTTTTTTTTTTTTTTTTTTTTTTTTCGCTTCTCTTGTTTGTTTATGTTTGTGATACGTCATCATATGATTTGGCAATAAAGACTCAGTATATTATAGAGGGAAAAAAAAAAAAAAGAGATGAAAGGAATTTTGGATCCAAGGCAAGATTGGATTGGTATGGATAAAAGAACTTCCTATGTTATAATATTCAATTCTCGATGACAAGAAAACTCTCATTGTTCTTGTTCACAGAATGTATAAAACATCTAAGAGTTCTTTTTTGTACACTAGGATCCTACACACCAAGATTAATCATGTTTGTGCCGGGTAAGACCCCAAAATGGTGACAAAGGTAATTGTATTCCCATAATTCGAATTCAAGACATTTAGTTAAGTTGAAAGAGACCTATATCATCTCATTCTAACTTATGGCATCAAGATCAAAACTTAATTGCACAACAAAATCATATCATATATTCAGTAGTATATAATTTCTTCATTTGACCAATTTACAGAATGCCCCTGGCCTACAAGGTGGTATAAATTAATGTATCACTTGTTAGTGAAGAATACAATGGAAAGAATACCCCAAACCTCACCCATATACCTCAAATCCCAAGAAAAAAACCCCAAAAAAGAGAAGAAAATTGTAGATGTACCCTTTAGGAACATCTAGAATTTCTCCCAGGTCCTCCATAATAAAAATAATTACCCCAAACTCGATTAATCCCTCCTTGTATATCATAACAGCTTGGATGGTCAGCCAAAACTTTGAGATTCGACAGCGGTATAAGGCTATTATCCCAATCCACAATCTGCAAATTTCGAAAATATGAAGCTTTTCCAAAACCCTCTCCTGCAAAATGTCCACTCCCCATTTGGGTTGATGTGTGAGAAGCCCCTGAGGTTTTGCTATTCACAATTTCACCCCCAAATTGTACCATGCTGGCTGAACTCCTGAGATGTGTGAACAAAAATGATGGCCAATACCCTACTAAGTTCCCTGATCCAAACTCCAGCCACCAGTTCCCATGCTTGGGGTCCTGCAGCCAAGAAATACACAAAATCATGGGTGGTTAGCTAGGTAGCACAAAAGTCGAAAATGACCAAGAAAACAAAACATAGAAAAAACACAAGATTTTGAAACATTTTATAGAGTTTTTGTAATTTTTTTTTTTGGAACAAGAAGTTTTAGAATGCAAAACGTTTTCTCTTACAAGTTTTCATGAGATGGTCGATTTTCATCATATCAAAGTTTTGTGCAAGTATATATTATCAAATATAATTATAACTTAATAGGTTTAAGTGATGTGAGAATGTAAAACACATGATGTGAAAATTAATATGCACTTGCAACCCTTTGAAACTTATTTCAAAGTGTCTATGAGAAGAAGTCAACAAAAAATTAGAAAGATTTGTAATTCTCTTTCATCAAAATATTGTAATTTTCTTTAGAGATATTCAATAAAATTAGAATGATATGGAGAACATTATAATAACATAATTTCATAGTGTCAACTAGAAGAAGTCACAAATTAAAAATTAATTGGATGAGACTGATTAAAATTTAACTGAATTAGTCTCGTCTCGCAAGTTGTATGTAGATGTTAGTATAGTATTATGTGTCTATATATAGGAGGTGGGGAAAAAAATGAGAAAAGCATAGAGTCAGGGAGGATGTTTGCTTAGGTTGAAAGAGTCAAGAGAATCTCACAAAGTGAGAAAACGTAAAGTGCAGACAAAATAATTGCATAAAATCTCACTACCAATGCTAAAGTGCACGCGTATATAGTATAATGCCTTACATCTGGCGTATTATAGTATAGGCTATGGTCCAAGCTTCATTTAAATCTACAATCACACAAACGACTAATGTGCGCCATGTTCCTTTTCCTTACATTGGCTAAGCTAGCTACCTATTCATGCTTGAAATTTTATACAATACTATATATACTTCATAAAATTAGAAATTTTATTTAAAATTATTATATCTATTTTAAATATTTGTTAACTTTTTCTATGTGACGAGGGAAATTCGATCTAAAGAGAATATTGAACATTGACAAGAATCGAATTCGCAATCTTTAGGTACAAGAATTATGTTTTACCTACTTGATTACTCTTTTCGGGACATTTGTTAACTATTCTTCACTTAATTAATTTTATTACAAGTTAATTGAATAACATTATACCAAATGATTAAAAAAAAAAGGGTACAAGTAAGAAGTAGAATAATTATTATTTATTTTATTTTAATTCTTTTTTTTTCCATGTTTGTGCCTTGTCCCCTCCGACTTTATTTTTCTTCGTTGTAATTGTAATAAACTTATTTTTTATTGAAAAATAATAATTACTATTTCTATGAGTGGACATTGGAATCATTACTACTACAACAGTATTGGTTTGCAAGGCAAGAATAATTGATGCCATGGAAATATTTAAAAAAAATAAAAAAGAAGTAGGACAGATATTACTTTTTGTTTTTTTATTCTTTATTCTTTTTGTAGTGTTTAGAAAGCGATTGTTGTTAAATTCGTTAATCTCCAGATACTGTAATTAGGATTCGTTAATTACTAATTAAGATAGAGGAGTAGATAATTACCTTCCAGATTAAAATGCTGATGTCATATTGACCGCCGTTATACGAGGATGTCGGTGAGATTGCCGCGCCAATCGCAATTCTGTTATTAGTCTGAACAAAGCCTGAGCACAGTAAATTGTAACACCCAGTCGCTTGATATGCATCACTCTACACATCAATCAATTGTTCATTTAATTTCCTCCTAATATTCATTAGCCATTAAACCAAAAAAAAAAAAAAAAAAAATCGTACCGTCCAATAGGTGAAGAATCTCGGGTACTTATCTCCATATAGCTCTGGACTAATCTGCATATTGAAATCAGAAATGAAATTTTTTAACATGGTATCAGAGCAAAATACTGAGTTGATTTAAAAAAAATAAAAATATAAAATC